GGGTCTAGGGATTAGAGCTTAGACCCCAAACCCCAAACCCCAGACCCCAAACCCCAAACCCCAAAGCCTAAACCCTAAACCCTCTGAACCCTAAACCCTAAACCCTAAACCCTCTGAACCCTAAACCCTAAACCCTAAACCCTCTGAACTCTCTGAACCCTGAACCCTGATGAGTCGGGTGGGGATGCCAGGAAGGACGCGGGCTGCAGCAAGGGTGCCGCCTGCACCTTTTGCCACCTCTGCGAGGCCACCCAGCCCTAAGCCCCATCTGGACCCTTCATTGTGGTTCCATGCTATATATATATATATATATATATAGATATAAACCCTAAACCCTATATAGAATATATATATACACATAAAGATATGCATGTATGTATGTATGTTTGTTTGTTTGTATGTTTGTATGTTTGTACGTTTGTACGTTTGTATGTATGTATGTATGTATGTATGTATGTATGTATGTATGTATGTATGTATGTATGTATGTATGTATGTATGTATATGTTTACTCCAGCTTCAGGATGGGTGGGGTTTGGTTTTTGAAGGATTCTGAAGGTTATATAGTTCAGTTTTGTATACGATATTCCGGTCTGTTGCGTTGCTTCCTTTTGGGGCGACTAGGGAATGTTAGTTGTTTGCGCTCACTTTGGATTTTCGGCGTTTCCTCGTGGGGACTTGGCCGCCATTGCTTTGTTGGGCATGGAGAGACTTAGGTAAGCGTGGAGCTGTGGAGCTCTGCCTCAAGTCTCCCTGCTGCCTACCTACCTTACTTTTTTTTTTTTTGGGGGGGGGGGGGGGGGGGGGGGGGGGGGGGGGGGGGGGGGGGGGGAGGATGGGTGGGTTAGTATGCAACCTGTTATTGGGGCAGCGCTGGGGGTTGCTTCGGAGATTCATGGGTCAGAAGTGTTAAGATAGGTCAATTGCAGCCATACACGGCTATTTCCTGGGCACGTGATGCCCCACTTTTTAACTACCCACCCCGAGCGTTCAAAGTGAAGCCTGAACGCGAAGGGGGTGGGGCTGAGGGTTTAGGGTTCCAAATCTTAAAGCCGTCGAAACGCCCGTTAAACCCCAAGAGCTCCGAACCGCCTGTGTAGGCAGATGACTTCCGCCGTCGGCGAAAGGACGGCTGCCGCCACTGTCTGAGTTTGGGCTTATGGATAGTCATTGGATGAGGTTCTAGACTCCAAACCCTAAACTCCAAACTCCAAACCCTAAACCTCAACTCTATGCCGAAACTCTATGCTAGGACCGAGGCTTCCTAGGAATTCCCCGTGGCCAATCCCTCCAGGCCATCCGGGGTAGGTTTGAACACCGTGTTTAATGTTTATTACCCTTTCCCCTATCAAATATTCTTGTCAGGCCATATAACAATACTTTTTGATGGGCCCCCCAAACCTACCCCGGCTATCGGGTTTAGGGTTTGGTGCTTAGGGCTTCGTGAAGCTCTGAAGTATACTAGTCACATCTCCAGACAACTTGAAAAAATCCTAAACCCTAACCCTTAAACCCCAAACCCTATAAACCCTAAACCCTAAGCCCTAAGCCCTGAGCCCTAAACCCTAAACCCTAAACCCTAAACCCCAAACCCTAAACCCTAAACCCTAAACCCTAAACCCTAAACCCTTCGCGAGGAGAAGACCCAGAGGATGAAAGCCGAGCGTACCCAGCGCAAGAAAGGCGGAGAGATGTGGCTTTGTTTGGGGGTTTGGTGTTTTTTTGGTGGGTCTAAAGCGTGTGGGTTTAGGGTTTAGGGTTTAGGGTTTAGGGTTTAGGGGTTCGGGGCACAAGGGGGGGCAGGTTCCTAAACCCCAGGCCCATGAGCCCCATAAACCCTGGAAGGTTTAGAGTTTAGGGCTTAGGGCTTAGGGCTTAGGGCTTAGGGCTTAGGGCTTAGGGCTTAGGGCTTAGGGCTTAGGGCTTAGGGCTTAGGGGAAGTTATTTGTTGCGTGGTTTGGCCCATACGGTTTACCGGTTTAGGATCTGATGTTTTTTGGCCTCGGACTTGTTCATATCACGGCAAGGGGTTTGGTCAGCAGGGGATATGCCCGCATGGTTTAGCAAAAGGGTATTTCCGAAATCAAGGTATCCCTTATGTCCCCCAAGTGCCTAGAATCCTTGTGCTCCACTCGGTTTGAGGAGTGCGTGTGCAGCATCTTCCAACAGGGATACCCCCCATTTTGGGAAGCTCATTCGAGCGCCTTCTTCGGTCGCGTTTCTTAGTTGGGGGTGGCCCTTGTTTCAAGGATACTTGCTCAAAAAAAGGACCGGAATTTAGAGGAACAAACAGGACCAGAATTTCGAGGACCAAAAGGGGCCAGAATTCAGAGGAAAAAAGGAACCAGAATCCGGAGACTCGAGAACTGCACAAGTGGATCGCCCAAATCGGGATTATACTAGGGGGTACTATAATTAGTCCGATTAAGGACTGTTAGTATATAGGGGAACATCCCAACCAACACCCCGGTATTAAGAAGTATACTTGAATATACCTTACCATGATGATAGCCTTAAGGGGCATTTGGCTCCCTGCTGGCTGCGTTTCAGACCCCTTCTGCTGTGTGCAAGCTGTATTTCGTGTGCGCGCTTCAGAGGCTGACATAAGGTCTTGGGACTAGGGTTTGGGGGTTTAGGCTTTAGGGTTTAGGGTTAGGGTCAGGGTTTGCGTTTTCCATTTCGGGTTCCTGGATTCAGGGTCCCGAGATCGGTAGCAAGGCATCCCAGCTTGCTCGAGAGCCCAGCAGCCGGTCTTTGATTGTACTGACACGCGCGGGAATTCCGTGCTCGGGGTCTACGTAGCAGCTTAGGGCTTGGGGCTTAAAGGTGTGCTTGAGGGCTCGCGGGTAGTTGGAAGCATTGTTTAGTAAGCATATACACCAATCATATCCCGAGCTGCCCTGCTGAAAGCCGCAGGAGGAACTACCACTATCCTTGGATTTCCGCATGGGTGGTGTTTTGTGTTCTTTGCTTTTCGTGCGCTTTCCTTTCCGCTTCTGACTAGTTTTTAGTAATTACGGCCTTTGTGACTTCGCTACCTCATCTCCCCCCCATGTTACTTTTTAAGGGCTATTTAGACCCTCAACCCTAAACCCTCAACCCTCAACCCAACACCCAAAACCCTAAACCACACTAACCCCCTGATTCCCTGCAAAGAACCCATAAGGTTGCCCCTGTCTCGGGCCTTCAACTCTTGCCCCTTTTCACACCTGAGCCCTGCATCGCACACCCTAAGTCTTAGGGTTTAGGGTTTAGGGCTTAGGGCTTAGGGCTTAGGGTGTAGGGCTTAGGGCTCGGGGTTTAGGGCTATGTCCTGAAGCTTAACTCCCCAACCCTTCAGCCTATACCCTACAAACGGAAGGTGTTTGGCTGAGTGCTTAGGGGCCCTTAAGCCTGTTGCCTTTTTCGGCGTTAAAGTTCTGACGCTGTAATTTGTAAACAATACAGGCTCATAAACTATGGGGCTTTCAAGCATACCTTCAGCACGGAACCTGCAACAAATGCCTTCGAAAATCTGCTGAAATCCCTAGCCTGAACCCCACAAGCCAAAGGCCTACAAGTCCTGCAAGCACACGTCGGAAATCCCCGCACCCTAGGCCCCTTCCAGTGTGTAGGGTTCAGGGTTTGGGGTTTAGGGTTTAGGGTTTGGGGTTTAGGGTTTAGGGTGTTGGGGCCGGTAATCCCAAACTTCGCCCACCGCTGCAGAGGCGACAAGGAGTGGGCCGTGGGGGGGGGAGGGGGGGGGGGGGGGGGGGGGGGGGGGGGGGGGGGTTTGGGGTTTGGTGTTTAGGGTTTAGGGTAGTTCATCTTGGCTTGAGGGTCCCTCTTACTACTGCAGTAAGTGTTGAGTGGTTGCAACTGTCGAATTGGTATGGTATCATCTCTTGAGGACTAGCTTACTACCATTTGAGGTATGACTGAGCTTCTCGGGTTAGTTGGATAGTTAGTTAGTCAGAGAGAGAGCGAGAGAGAGAGAGAGAGAGAGAGAGAGAGGACGGGAGGGAGGGGGAGAGGGAGAGGGGAAAGTTGGAGAGGGGAGGGGGGAGTGGGGAGATTGGATAGGGGAGAGGAAAGGATAGAAAGAGACAGACAGATAGAGCCTGAATTAATTAGGGTGAGAGAGTCTTTAACAAGCACCTTGTCTATTGCCGATTGTGTTGCCTTTTTGAAGAGAAAGGGCCAACTCTCAAAATGACGCCCCATTTCTGCAGCAACCCGGAACTATTGAACGTACGAGTCGGACAGAACCCAAAGCCGCCCAAAACCCAAAACCCTAAACCCTAAACCCTAAACCCTAAACCCTAAACCCTAAGCCTAAACCCTAAACCCTAAACCCTAAACCCCCCCTAAACCCTCCAGCCTAAACAGAAGAAGGAGACAGAGCCACCACAAGAATCGGCCTCGAGCTCAGAATCCATGCGGATTTCCCAAACCCGACAGTACCCATCCTAAACCCTAAACCCTAAACCCTAAACCCCCTGGTCTTCAGTCCAGAATCCTCAACCTTGAGTTTCCTGAAGCCCTGAAGCCCGAAACCCTATGTTCCTACACCCTACACTGCGGTTTTCGGGGGACTGCATCAGTCTAGGGTTTAGGGTTTAGGGTTTAGGGATTCGGGCTGTTGGGGCGAAGTTTTGAGCTTCAGCACGTTTTGGGATCCCTCTTGTTAAAGCGTGCCGCCTTAGAATGGGTGCTACCCACATGGTTCCGAAAGCCCAGGCCCAAACCCTAAACCCTAAAAAGATGTACTCGCCCGGAAGCCCTCAAAAAGCCCCAAACTCTGATAACGACACCCTAAGCCCTACCGAAACAACTTGTTCCCCAGATCCCAAAAAAACCCTCTAAACCCTAAACCCTAACCACAAACCCTGACCCCCTGAACTTTAAGCCCTTAGCCCTAACCCTAAACCCTAAACCCTAAACCCTAAACCCTAAACCCTAAACCCTAAACCCTAAACCCTAAACCCTAAACCCTAAACCCTATTTGAAAATGCCTTCCCATGCTGCCTGCTGCCTCCATGGGCCGGCAAGCCGAGCGGATGAAGACGTCGACCCGAGGAAGTGCCTGGGGCCTTCAAATGGGGGGTTTAGGGTTTAGGGTTCAGGGTTTAGGGTTTAGGGTTTAGGGTTTAGGGTTTAGGGTTTAGGGTTCAGGGTTTAGGGTTTAGGGGTTAGGGGTTAGGGTTTTTATTCAGGGTCTACGATACTAAGGGACCTAATAAAGACCCCCCCCCCCCCCCCCAAATAGTAGGATCCCCTTATCAGTATACTAAGGACCCCAGTAAGTACCCCTGATATCGTAAACCCCCAAATAGCTTGACGAAGATCGCGCCTAGACCGCTATGGTTGTAGTTCCTTCTGATTCTTTGTGGGGATGTGGACGGGATGGGGGGGGTGCGGCACCCACGTGTGTTTTTTCGGAATGGAATTAGACCCCAAAGTTTCAACACTTGGAGCCCGACAATTTGAAGATTTAGGGTTGGGATGTTCCCCTGTACACTAACAGTCCTTAATAGGGGTTGCCCCCATTTATAATCTATAATCCGTATAACCTTGAGCCTTTTTGGGGATGTACTTGTCTGGCTCTTTGCGGGGGCCCATGAGAAGTCTCATCCACATGGACTCCTCAAGACGTGCTCCGCCACTGCTTAGCCCAGCAACACCCAAACCCCCCCCCCCCCCCACCCCAAAAAAAAAAAAAGAGGCACCCATATTTGTTCCTAGGTTAGGGTTTAGGGTTTAGGGTTTAGGGTCTAGGGTCTAGGGTCTAGGGTTTAGGGTTTAGGGTTTAGGAAATTGGGTTGCTGGGCAACCGGCTCCTTCATGTCCTCGCAGGCATCGTTCACGATGCAGACGGGCAAGCACTCCGGCAGCTGCAACGCGCGGGCGCGTGGCAAGAGGTGCTCATGAGCTTTGAGTTTAGGGTTTAGGGTTTAGGGTTTAGGGTTTAGGGTTTAGGGTTTAGGGGTCAACCCTAGTACGATACTACAGTCAGTGCACACCATCCTAGACCTGTGGTTGAGCATGCAGGCTTAGGACCAGAGTCCCCAAACCCGACGGTCAGTACCACATCCCACAAGAAGTTTATGAATTGTGGATATCATTCCTTAACTTAATATTCAGCCAGCCCAGATTTCAATATTTCAAGCTGCAGGGAGCAGTTTCCACTCCACCCGCAGGCTCTTTCGGCTTTACTCAAGGGCTTCGGGTTTAGGATGTAGGGTTTAGGGTTCAGGGTTCTTTTACTCAAGGCCTTGTGGCCTCGGCCTGAAGCTTGGGTCTTCTAGCTCGGGGGCTTCGGCTTTTCATGGTTTACAGGTTACTCTTATAGGTTGAGATGTTCCCCTTAGACTGACAGTCCTTGATAGGGATTATAGTACCCCCTCCTTTACTCCCCCTAAAGCCTAAACCCCAAGAGGGCCTTCCCTAAACCCTAAACCCGAAACCCTAAACCCCCCAAGGTGCCACTCCACCCACGCATCGCAAGCAAAGGCCCAAAACTGGAGGTGCAGTAGCCTCCCAAGGAGGCTGATCAAGTACAGGGCTTGTGTTTTCCCAGAAAACTGGAGAGGCCCCAAAGTCGCAAAATGGCATTGGTTCAGGGGTTTGAGCAGGGTTTAGGGTTTAGGGTTTAGGGTTTAGGGTTTAGGGTTTAGGGTTTAGGGTCTTTTCTGTCTAAGACTTCTGGAAGGCTCTCCAGGCTCTAGCGGCGATGGCTGGTCGAGCAGCGGAGGTCACAGTGGTGACGCGCCCCGGCGCAGGTGTCAAGCATGGGTTTAGGGTTGAGGGTTTAGGGTTGAGGGTTTAGGGTTTAGGGTTCTCCTACTTTCCCCTACTACTTGTACCCCCCCCCCCCCCCTTCTGGGTTTAGGGTTTGGGGTGTAGGGTTTAGGGTTTAGGGTTGGGGTTTAGGGCTACTACCCCCTGGGTTCCAGGCCTTGAATAAACCTTAGGCTTAGAGTTATCCCTAAATAGCCTTAATTAAGGGGGGAACCTAGGGGCCTGCAATTCGCTTAAGCTCTATTTAGGGTTTTTAGGGGTTATGGTTTAGAGTTTAGGGTACTTAGGATGTTCCCCCTTATACTAGCAGTCCTTGACAGGGATTGTAGTACCCTCTATCACAATTCCTAAACAGGACTGCCAGTATAAGGAACATCCCAATCTATAAGGCTTTTTTTCCAAAGTAAGGGACCCCTCACTAAGGTACCCCTAATATCCCAGAAAGCCTTGAAGCCTAAGACCTAAGACCCTGAAGCCTAAGGCCCTGTTAATCCCTCAAGCCCGAAACCAAACCTGAAGCCCAATCCTAAACCCAGATCTGCCAAAATAACAGAACACACCATGCTTACCTACCTTGGACTATTTTCTTGCTTGGAGTCCACTATGGGCATTTCCCAAAGTAGGGATGCCCCTTTTATACCCCAAGTATCATAGACCCCCCCCCCCCCCACCCTTTGAGGGATCTCACAAGGGTGCCCCCCAAATTCTCGGATGCCGACTCGACTTCGCAATGGGATGAAACCCCCAACCTATCTCAGCTTGCAGGCAAAGTTCCCTGCAGGCCGAGCTGAGGGGTTAGGGTTGAGGGTTGAGGGTTTAGGGTTTAGGGTTTAGAGTTTAGGGTTTAGGGTTTAGGGTTTCGCAATCCAGAGCCTCCCTTTTTGGCTTGGCAAAGAGCATGCAAGGTGCTTGTTGGTTATCACACAGATCTCGGCAAACGAGCCAAAGCCAAGCCCCGAAAAGCAATTTCGATTGGTCCTGAGGATAAAGGTCACAAGCCCACCGAAAAACGGGAACCCTTTTGGGGTTCCTATCTTAAGGATCATACACAAGATTATATTATTTCGTGTTACAATCTTTGGAAACCCCCACATAAGGTTCGGCATCTGCCTCAGCGCCTGCGAGCGAGCGGCACAGTGGCCGCAGGCCCTGCAGCTCGCGGAGGCTGCCTCTGTGAGTTCTTTAGAGCCCCCGCGCCCCCTTCCCTGCCCCCGCCTTGCCCACGAACCCTAACCCGTGTAAGCTCATGCGTAGTCTGGTGCTTTGGCACATATGGTGAAGGCTTGTAGGGCTTTGGGGTGTTTGTAGCTAGGAATTGATGCTTCGGTAGAGGGTGTTTCCACAGGCCCTAAACCCTAAACCCCAAGCCCTAAACCCTAAACCCTAAATCCTAAACCCTAAACTCTAAACCCTAAACCCATGCATTTACGGTTTCTTGGGTAGCATCATCGAGATGCCCTGGTCTAAGCCTGAGAAGCAACTCGATGTCCTAGAGGCCTCACCCAAAGACAAAGAGCCCAAAAACACCCCTTAAAATGAGGCTAGGACCGGGAGTAGGCCCTTTTTTCCTTTTGTAGGGTTGGGGTTCCCTTATAATGCCTTAACACCAGAAAGGGTACCCTTTTATTCCTAGGTTACTCCCGGGTCTAGGAGGAATATACCTTAGATCATATGAAGGATTCCTGCATTTTTTTCGGGTATGTTCCTTGATGTGATATAGGGATCCTGAACATGGTTTAACGCTTATTTCTGAATTGTATACCTTAATTGATAGAGGAATCCTTCATATGACCAGGTATCTTCCCCTTAACTTAAGGGATGTTTTGGGCTCTTTGGGCAACTAACCCTAGCAGTTTGCAGCAGGACCTGCGCTTGGCGGCCTTGCAAGGCGCACCTGTTTACCAGTGTTTCGTTTAGGGATGTTTATGGTTTAGGGTTTAGAGTTTAGGGTCTAGGGAGGTGGTCCCAGAGCTTGACGTTTAAAGCTTAGGGCTTACCTAGCTTTTGTAGATATGGGTGTTTCCCAATAGGGTACTCCCATGTGAATGACCACGCCTCCTTCATCCTCTCCACCCACAAAAAAGTCTCTGCAACGCACGGTCCCTGCGCTATCCCAGAAGAAGGCGACAGCGGTTTAGGGTTTAGGGTTTAGGGTTCAGGGTTCAGGGTTCAGGGTTCAGGGTTCAGGGTTCAGGGTTCAGGGTTCAGGGTGCCGAACGGAGACTTCTTGGGTGTCGGGTTCAAGGCCATGCTTGCCAGCATCCCTTCCCCACCCCTCCCCCTGCCCCGTCCGTCGACTGTTGTTCACGGTTTAGGGCTTAGGTGTAGGGTTTAGGGTTTGGGGTTTAAGGTTTGGGGTTTAGGGTTTAGGGTTTAGGGTTTAGGTTGTTGGTGCTCCTTAATGCAAGGACGTCCTGGTCCTTTGTAGGAGCGCCCCACACTCTAAACCCTAAAGCCTAAACCCTAAACCCTAAACCCAGACATTTCCTAAACGCTGAGCCCTGACCCTGAAGCCAGCCCGTCCTGGATCCTGAGCCCCAAACCCCTAAACTCCAAGACTCCTACGAACCCTAAGATCCCCCAAACCCTAAACCCTAAACCCTAAACCCTAAACCCTTCACCCTAAACCCTTCACCCTAAACCCTAACCCTAAACCCTAAACCCTAAACCCTAAACCCTAAACCCTAAACCCTAAACCCTAAACCCTAAACCCTAAACCCTAAACGCTAAACCCTAAACCCTAAACCCTAAACCCTAAACCCTAAACCCTAAACCCTAAACCCTAAACCCTAAACCCTAAACCCTAGCCTAAACCCTAAACCCTAAACCCTAAACCCTAAACCGAACCACAAGGCCTAAACCCCTAAAGTCTAAGCAGGCTTTTTGGGTGTTTCCGAAGTGGGGGGGTATCGGGTGTCGTATTGGGGTCCTTCTTGGAAGGGAATCACCCTAAACCCTAAACCCTAAACCCTAAACCCTAAACCGTCTTTATTGTAAGGGAATCTTGCTATCTTTTGGGGGGGTCTACTTATTTAGGGGTCCCCTATTTTCGTAAGCCCCTATCTAAGGAATCGAGGAGTCCTCTTGCCGAAGGAGTTCGAAAAACAAGCGGCCCTAAGAGTTTAGGGTTTAGGGTTTAGGGTTTAGGGTTTAGGGTTTAGGGTTTAAATAGGGGGGTGCCCAGTTCTTGGGCGAGTACACTTTCAAAAGAACCGTGAGGTTGAGGCTTGAGTTCTGAAACCAAACCCCGGACCCGAATATGGGGGTTTCCTGAAGATAAGGGTTCCTTTTTTTTTTTTTTGTTTGGGGGGGGGGGGGGTTCCCTTTAAGGGGATTTTAGGGTTTAGGGTTTAGGGTTTTAGGGTTCTAGGGTTCTGGGGTTTGGGGTTAGGGATTCTATTTGGGGGGGTATAAAAGAGCTACCCGTCTTTTGGCAACTGCTCATATAAACCCAAACGCCAAAGTAATCCACTCTAGCCCGATCAACCCTAGATTTTAAGCCCAATTGGCCCCAATCCCTGAACCTTAAACCCTAGCCCGATAAACCCTAAATTCTAAAGCACCAGTAGCCCTAAACCCGAAACTGCAGAGTGTGCGAGGCAATCTTGTGACCTACAACACAGCCCTGAGCGCTTGCGCGAAGAGCCTGGAGCCTCATCTAAACCCCTAAGCCCCTCAACCCTAGACCCCGAAACCCTTATAAACACCCCTAAACCCCTAAACCCTAATTAAACCCCTAAGCCCTTATAAACACCCCTAATCCCCTCAACCCTACACCCTAAACCTTAAACGTTTCAGGGCCTGTGCTTAGAGGTTCATTGGATATCACTGGGGCTACGTGTGGCGCCAACTTCAGCCTTGCGTTTAGCCAGCTATGAACCTTTCTTGGTAGGGATTATTCATGCTTCTTGGGGTTCTAGGGCTTATGAAACGGGCTGAGAGACGTTAGAGGTGTAGATGACATTGAAGATAGGGCTTGAAGGTTTTTTTTGAGCAGTCCTAAGTAACGCAACTAAAGTTAAACACCAGTTCGAGCGACCGTTCCCCTGATCACAACCACAATTGCATCTACCCATGCATCTCCAAGCACGCTTTGTTGGACTTTAGGACCAGAAACAAGTTTAGAAAATGCCTGAACCTTAAACAACGCACCTCCCAGCAACCTCCAAACTCCAAGCCCTTACGGCCCCCAAGGGGCTGACGCCTTTCCTTGGGTTTTGAAGATCGTAAGAAGTCATGCTGGATGTGCAGAGTGCTACATCCTTCCGGGTCCCGATTGAAAGATGTCTCCCGCTTGAAACTAGCCATCGCCGTTTAATGAGGAATCCTTTGCCAGGGAGTTTACAAGAGGCCCCCCCCCCCCCATCCTAATTTAGCCCTTTCGTGGGTGGATTTGGAGTAGTTTGGCGGGTATATAAGGGGCGTATCCCGATTCTGGGAAATACCAAACCCTAAACCCTAAACCCTAAACCCTTCGGGATTGAGGCTTCAGGCGCAAGGACGCCATCTTATCTGAATTCCAGAATCCTAAGCCCTAAACCCTGAGGCCTTGGACCCCAAAACCCTAAGCCCCAAACTGCATGCTTACATGCATATGCATACTATGATTACAGGTGCCCCCCTCCCAGTATTCCCCTAATTGGGCATGATTCTCCCTAAATAGCCTTAAGTATGGGGGAACCTAGGGGGGGATAGTAGCCCTAAACCCTAAACCCTGAACCCCTATAGTAATAATTGCAGGTGCCCCCCCTCCCAGTATTCCTGTGAGCCGACGTATGCAGGAGTGGGCGCGAACACTGCAGCTGCTCCGCGAGATGCACATAGAGGAGTGGGTTTAGGGTTTAGGGTTTAAGGCTGGAATGTTCCCCCTCATACTAACAGTCCAATAGGGAACATAGTACCCCCCTGTTATAATCCCTATTAAGGACTGTTAGTATTCGGTGGAACATTCCAAGTTTAGGGTTTAGGGTTTAGGATTTTGGGGCTCAAGGTTTCATTCACGGGTTTTGTTGAAGCTTTGGCGGCTTAAGGGTTCGGGGATTTTTTCGGAGTTTAGAGTCTAGGGCGGGAGTCTACGTCCGTAGCCTGTAGCAGGGTCGAGGCATAAACTCTAAATCCACAAAGCAACTTCAACCCAGTAAAAGCTGTTTGGAGGTGAAACACTACGGTGGATGGAGGAACTCTTGCACCACCCTCCTGATCTGCTCCAAACACACCGTCTGACGCCAATCCCACACCCCCTTTTGTAAAGTTGGTGATTGTCACGATGGGAGCTGTGCAAGATTTGTGTCATTGGGCCTCATCCTGATAAATCTGCTTTTCGCCGCAATGTTACAAAGGGGGTGAGGGGAGAGAATGTTATGCACCGTGAATTGGCGGTGCAAGATTTCCTCCATCCACAGTCCGGCCCAGAGTAGACCCTGATTCCATTTTGGTTGGGTCTAGGTTCCCTTATTAGCTTATTAGCCCCCTTTTCAGCCAAAAAGGGCACCCTTTCATTTCTGGGTTACTCTTGGGTCACCCTAAACCCTAAACCTGAACCCTGACCCCCACATCCTAAACCCTTTTCATTCCTAGGTTACTCTTGGGTCTAGAAAAGATGTCCATACCTGCTGCACGATCTTTCCCCCGCTCCATTCCTCAATCCACAGCGTCTTCCTTTTCAACATCTCCCCTAGGGCCTAGATCTACCTAGGGGGTTAGCGTTTGGGGAGGGGATTAGGGTTAGAGTAAGCTGTATACATGTGTACATATATATATATATATACATACATACATACATACACACACAAACACACATGAGATTAGGGCCTATGTGGCTACAGTCGGTAAGGCCTAAAGCCAATTCCTGGACTGTATCTCTATGCCTAGGCCCTAAGTCCAAAAGCCGGCAGGAGTTGCAACCGGACATCATCTCGTTCAACTCGACCATCGCGGCCTCCGACTCCTCAGCCGCAGTGTTTAGGCTCTGTGCTTGACATGCATGAAACATCAGGCTGCTCCAGGTTTAGATTCGGGACATGCCTCAAGCGGAAGAGGTTTCAGTCTTCACATAAATAGGCATCGTCTTGCCACAGGTCGCAAGGTATACAAGATATACTCTGACCAAGCAGGGTTCTTATAAAGACACTACAGTAGTTTAGATACCATAACTAATACGAGGAAACCATCGTATGCACTTCAGAATCGTGTTAAGAAGCTTTATATATTTTGTTCTTGTTCAGTAAACCGTTTAAACTCTGAATCCTAAACGCTACAAGCCCTCAACCGTTCCAGAGGACTGGGTGCATGCGCTGGCTCTGCTGGAGGATGCCACGCTGAGCGACCTGCAAGGACGGTGCCCCAGCCCAGGCTTTTGGCCCGAACGCGGCAAGCATGCTCATTAACAATGTCAACTTGTTTATATATGGTAAGGGGTAACTCTTACGGGTATAGTGGGGGTGGTGTTCAGAGCGCCTTGTAACGACTAAGAAAAGGACAGAGATCAGGGACCCCCCCCCCCCCGTTCAGCCAGGCACCATCATCACGTATGGCTCTGTCATCACGGCCTGCGGCAAGGCTGCCGCCCAAGGGAGTTGATGAACTTGAAAGCCTAAGCCATGGACCTTAAGCCCTAGGCTAGGGTTTAGGGTTTAGGGTTTAGGGTTTAGGGTTTAGGGTTTAGGGTTTAGGGTTTAGGGTTTAGGGTTTAGGGTTTAGGGTTTAGGGTTTAGGGTTTAGGGTTTAGGGTTTAGGGTTTAGGGTTTAGGGTTTAGGGTTTAGGGTTTAGGGTTTAGGGTTTAGGGTTTAGAACAAAACTATGCGCCGTAAGCCCTGCTGACTAGGGTTCAGGGCTCAGGGGTTCTGGAATCCCTAAAGTAAACCCCCTCAGCCGTCATCCCCCCCACACCCTGGGCAGAAGGCCTCGTGAAAGGGCTAGGTTGAAGGATCTGTGGGCACGAGAGGAAAAGAGCCTCAAGCAAGTTTCCATGTAGCACTTAGGGTTTAGGGTTGAGGGTTGAGGGTTGAGGGTTGAGGGTTGAGGGTTGAGGGTTGAGGGTTGAGGGTTGAGGGTTTGGGATTGCGTGACCTTGATACCCTTTTGGGTTTAGTCTACAGACCCTCCACATGTTGCGTTTATTCCATGCTCGAGATATATCTTTGGCCGTTGATTTTCCGGGTATATAGCTTGGTTCTGGGCCGTATTGAGTATTTCTTTGTGGCTGGGCCACGTGGGCACTGAAGGTAGCCAAGGAGGTTTGGTTCTTGTGGTGCAGTAGAAGCAAGGAGCGAATTCCAGCTGGCTAGAATCTGACCTTTGAAAACAAGGTGTGGGGTCGAAAGCTCGAAGCAATCCGCAGCCGTAAGCCCCACTCGTCCCTCGAATGCTACGCCACACCCTAAGGCCTTCATAAGAGACTTAGACTTGTAGATGCTTGCAGCCAGGAGCCTCAAGTCGTCGACCTTGCCTAGACCCTCCAAAGCGCCCTCAACACGTAAACACTGGCACTCTCAATAAAACCCCTCAACCCCGAAACCTTGAAACCCTCAGCCCTACAACCCTGCCCTCAACCCTACAACCCTGAAAACGCAGAACCCAAACCTCCAAAATCCCGAAAACCCCTGAGCCCTCCGCTGGCAAGAGGCAGAGCACTGGGAGGAAGCTGTTCAACTGCTCAGCGAGGCCCCACTGCGTCTGCTCTGCTATTCTAGATTGCTTGGGACCCCCCCCCAAAAAAAATGAACAATAGTCCTCCTTATAAGAGCAATAGAGGGGTTTTCATGTTTTCTTTTTTTGGGGGGTCTTAAGCAATTAGTAGTATGTTGTTTCAGAACCACCCCCCCCCCCCCCCCCAAAAAAAAAAAAAACATCAAACATTCGTTCTTATTAGGGCACTGTAGGGAACAGTATTCTTGATGTTTGGGGCGTTCTTATGCACATAGTAGTGCTGTTTGGGGCAATGTGATGCTTTCGCACTTGCGGGTTTTCAGGGTTCACTCAGTGCACATAGGCAGATAGAGATTGAAAAGAAGGCAGTCGGTTCAGGGTTCAGGTTGTAGGGTTTAGGACTAGGGTCTGGGGTTTGGAGTTTGGAGTTGAGGTTCAGTTTGCGTGACATGTTTCTTCCTTCAAGCACTCCGACCATCAAGAAAAAATCGCATCGCTTCTGCCTTTGGAATACATCCTCAGTCTCGTGATTGCAACCGGGACGGCCTAGGCTTAGGGTTCGTGCTCATGGGGTCTAGTAGCCCCCTACGAAACCCCGAAACACGCCGTTGAAACCTTTATCTGTTGGTCTTCAGGAGGCTTAGGCGAAGTTTCCCCGCAAGGTGAATGAGGTCGGCCTTCGTTCGAACCTCGTCACCTGCAGCGCCTGCGCCGCTTGAGCTGCAGTAAACCCTAAACCTTAAACCCTGAACCCTAAAGTTTAAACTCTAAACCCTAAACCCTAAACCCTAGATAAACCCTAAACCCAAACCCTAAACCCTAACCCTAAACCCTAAACCCTAAACTCTCGCCCATGAACCCCCCTCCCTTAAAAAGAGTAATTCCCGAAGCCTGAAACCCGGCCCCTTTCTTGGGGCGACATTTTTGCTGCTCCTCCAGGAGGTCCGGCCCCTCATTCCAGTTTTCAGGGTCGGGATCCCTTGTAGACGAGGGTGCTCGGGTTTGGGGTTTAGGGTTTAGGGCTTAGGGTTTAGGGTTTAGGGTGTAGGGTTTAGGGTTTAGGGCTAGGTTTTGAGGGAACATTTTTCTTCGGCTCACAGGTCAGTGCGTGCGAGAAGGCTGGGCGTTGGCAAAGTGCCCTGATGCTCCTCGCTCATGCGGAGGCAGGTTTTGGTTCAGGGTCGGGTTTACGGTTTAAGGTTTGTTTAGGTTCCCTTTCAGGGAATTCTATTCTATTTGGGGTACACAATGGGTACCCCTACTTTTGGAATTGCCCATTTTGGGGTTCGCCAGATGCTCTTTCTGGAAGTAGCTTGAGGTCTGTTTGCTCTGTTGGCATGGGTCCCTTGTCTTTTCAGGAGGCTCCAGGTACAGTTGAGCCTAAGTTTCTTAGGCTTCAGGGTTTAGGGTTTTGGGGTTTAGGCTTAGGGCTTGCAAGTTGAGTTCCTCAGAGAATTGTTTTGGGGGTCAAGCTGAAGCAATTCGGAATGTTGATATCTGGGATAGATGGCTCTACGGTTTACGGGGGATCTGGAGTTGAGCGTTGAACCCTACCCTCTCCATCATGGATAATCTAGATGTAAATGTTAGTGATTTTGCGGGCAAGGTCATATAAAGAGCGGGCAAGGCGGGCAAGGTCATAAAAGGGCCGGGCAAGGTCATAGAATCAGCGTGCAAGATCCGTCGGCTGACCCATGACTGGGGTTTTTTTCGAAGATAGGAGACCCCCCAACATAGATCGCCAAATAGTAGGATCTCCTTAAAGTAAGGACCCCTAAAAGGTACCCCCCCCCCCCCCCCCCCCCCAATATCGCACACCCCCATGTGACCTTGCCCTGCTCCTTTTGTCTGACCTTGCCACTGTTATCTGTTTAGGGTTTAGGGTTTAGGGTTTAGGGTTTAGGGTTTAGGGTTTAGGGTTTAGGGTCTGACCGTGGGCATGCTGGCCAACACTGAAGTTGGATGTAGGGTAGCCACGTTATCTGGGGTGCTCGTAGCCCTTCTCATCACGACCCAGAAGCCTTCAAGCAATCCCTAGAAGCTCTGAACCCTAAACCCTAAACCCTAAACCCTAAACCCTAAAGCAACCCTAAACCCGACATCGAAGTGCAGGAGGAGTCCTTGCACCCCGACATCATCCTGATCAGCGCGGCCATCAGCGCGTGCGAGAAGGGGGCAGAGTGGCAGCAGGCCACCTGGGTAGGGTTTAGGGTTTGGGGTTTGGGGTTTTTTAGTGTTTAGGGTTGAGGCTTTAGGGTTTAGGGTTTAGGGTTCAGGGTTAGGGTTTTGAGTTTGGGTTGAGCTCAGGGTTTTCCCCTTCGGGGTCCTCGAAACCGATGAACGGCTTAGAGGCGCTACTATAGTTACTATGGCAACCCTGAGACTTGTATATAGTTCCCTAAGCCCTGAACCCTAGTTATGGGTTTTTGGGGAGATGCCCCCCCCCCCCCCCCCCCCCTCTTGTACCCTAAGGGGGTGTTGTTCTCTCAGTGCTTCGGAACCCCCGATCCCGAAAATTCGGGGTTTCAGTGTGCAGGGTTTAGGGTTAGGGTTGCACCCTGAACCCTAAACCCTAAACCCCCTTCAGTATTTCGGTTTCAGGGGTTCAGGGGTTCGGGGGTTCGGGGGTTCGGAGGTTTAGGGTTCAGAGGTCCGGATTCAGGGGTTTAATCAAGGGATTAAGACCCGTAACCCTCAAGGTTGTGCCCCTAAAGGTTCCCCTCAACCCTCAACCTTCCCCTAAACCCTAAACCCTAAACCCTGGGACAAGGCGCTGGCGCTCTTGGCCCGACTTCCATCCTTTAGCCTGCGGGCCAACGTGACGGGACCTGAGGTATGGAGACGGTTTAGGGTTTAGGGAGTAGGGTTTAGGGTTTAGGGTTTAGGGCGTAGGGTTTTAGGGTTTAGGGTTGGGGTTCAGGGTTTCGGGTTCAGGGTTCACAGTTCAGGGTTTAGGGTTTAGGGTTTAGACTGGGTTGCTGCTAAGGTTCTTACATGAAGCTGCCATAGTATTTTGAAAGTAGATGATACGTTTAGTATCAGTATCCTGGTTCTGTTTCTGAAAACATAACATGAATTGCCAGAACATGAGCTCTGGGGATTCTAAGGTCTCTGGATTTTGGTTAACTCGTTAACTACTGGCTTCTGGTTAATAAACTTAAACGAAGTCTTCATAATATGGCCATCTAGTACATAGTAAAGTAACGTCTTTAGTGGGGAGCTTCGTTTATTCCCCTAAGAACGCATGTGAAGCTGGCAGAACATGAGGGGGGGTTCTCTATCTACATGATGGTCCCTCTGGGTGTTACCTTTTTTTTTGAATAATATGGAACCCTATATTCTTCGTGCCCACAAAAGGGAACCATGTTTTAGATTGGAGGCTCGAAGTTTGGGCGTGCACAGTGCCTGAATAATTTCCTATATCATTCTCCCCGGAAAACCCATACTTGATTCCCATATCAGCTGCCCAAATGCCCGTTCTACGTGACTTGTGGAGCCTCCTCGCTTTTTTGTTGCAATATCTGGCATCAGCTGTGTGGGCTATTGGAGGGAGCTTGTTCAAGGTTTAGGGTCTAAAGTTCCGGGCTTAGTGTTGAACCTTAAACCCTAAACCCTAAAAACCCTAAACCCTAAACCCTAGATGGTTTTTGAGGTGACGACCTACAACGCGGCGATCAGCGCTTGCGAGAAGTGTGAGCAGTGGATACATGCGCTGGCGAAGCTTTGCTGCAGCCGTGGGTCCCGATAAGTACTATTTGCTTAATCAGAACCTCAAGAAACAGAAAGATTCTTCCTTATAAGGGTAAGCCTGCCTAGAAAGCTCAGTTCAGCTCTTTTGGGGATTCTGAGTGAAGCAACCCTAAACATTGAGAACCCGAAGCTCTAAACCCTTTAAGCCGTCTTAGCACTATGCAAGCCCCAGACCAAACAACACAAGGTAACAGGGTTGTAATATCAGGTCGTTTTGGGCATTGGCACAAAAGAGTTAAACCCATGGCTTGAAAAGATGGGTTACGTGAACTTCCCCGCACGCAGGCAAAAAACAAAAAAATCTAAATGGGGTCAGGACAAGAAGGATTCAAACAATGGTGATGTTTGCACCAAAGCAAAAAAATCTTCAGCAGCCGAAGTGGCAAAACGACTGTTGCACCAAGCCTGCCTTGAATTTATCTTGGTCTGATGCATACGGATTATGGCTCAAGACTGTCATTGAATTTTCGAGTCATTTTTTACCCGGTCCAAGAAGCGTCAGTCAGTCTAGTCCATTCAGCGGTTGGTCCTGTCAGTCCTCATCTTCTTGGAGTTTGCAAGCAGTCAGTCCAGCAGTCATTTTTTCTGTAGCTTGCCGATCGACTACCTCGACCTCTGCAGCTTCCTTGACGAGAGCGTGCGCGCGCCCAGGGCAGGGCTGAGGGGTTGTCTCTGCTTTCTACTTGTATCTCTTTCACCTGCGCGCTCACCCAAGAAGGCGTCCCCCAGGAGGGCTTTGTATGAGGCTCTACGCTTCTACGCCTCTCTGTAAGACCGTACATGCTGAGCACAGAGGTTTAAGGCTATAGGATTGGGCCTCAAAGACCAGGCTTGGCCATAGAAATTAAACAAAACCCGCGGAAAAAAGCTGGAAAGCACCTGAACCCCACTTCAAAAAAGCTGAAATGCACAAGATGTTCTGAAGGGTCAGTTTCGGGGATTGGGATACAGGTCTTACGGCTATAGGATTGGGGTGCGTAATCACAAGTAGAAGCAATTGACGGACGTAGGGCAAGCATGTTCTGGGTGTGAACACACGCGCAAAGCTTCACTTCGTGAACTCTTTGATGTAGATAGAATGTAATGCACCTATAGGGAAGGACGATGCGCAGCGCACGCAAGCCTGAAACACCCGTCGAGAGAGACGAGGGCTTTTGGAACTTGGGCTGTGGGGTTTAGCGTTTCGGGTTTAGGGGTTAGGGCTTCGGTTTTCGGGTTTAGGGCATAGGGTATGGGGTTTGGGTGAAGCTTTTGGGTTTAGGGCATAGGGTAATTTCTTGGGTTTGGGTGAGGGGAGGGGGGGGATTACCAGGGGAGGGCTTTCGATCGGTGTCAGACGCCAGTCTCGAACTTGGTGCAGATGGTCTTGGAGACCAGCGCAAAGGCGTTAGGGTTTGGGGTTTGTTTGTTTGTCTTGCTTGCTTGACTTTATGCCTGACCTTCTGACTTTCACAGGAGCAGCCTACTCTTGGCGGCTTCGGGTTTTACGGGCTTTCGGGTCTAGAGTCACAAGTGCAGAAGGTTTGGGGCTTGTTGTACTTCATGGGCTTCTAGGTTCCAATTTTTCCCGAAGGCAAAAGTTGACCACACACCACAAAATCAACACATAATCCCCCCCCCCTCGCTCGTCCGCTTCCGCGGATTTCTCGGGAAAGGGCCATCTTGCAGCGGTTCTGCTGAGGCCCGAGACCCCCCAGCCCAGCCCGAAAAAGGCAAGATTTGCCGACTTTTTTTGCCCAAGTCGCCAGGCCAGACCCGCGCATTTTTCCGGAAAAGTCCGCGGAAGTGGCCTGGCGCAGTGCGCCAGGCCAGTTTGGTGATTTTTGGGGGGCTGTCAGCGCGCATTTTGCGGATGCGAATCCGGAAAATGCCGCGCTGACAGCCCCCAAAAAATCACCAAACTGGCCTGGACTGCGCCAGGCCACTTCCGCGGACTTTTCCGGAAAAATGCGCGGGTCTGGCCTGGCGACTTGGGCAAAAAAAGTCGGCAAATCTTGCCTTTTTCGGGCTGGGCTGGGGGGTCTCGGGCCTCAGCAGAACCGCTGCAAGATGGCCCTTTCCCGAGAAATCCGTGGAAGCTGTGTGGCGAACTTTTGCCTTCGGTTGGAACCTAGAGGCCCATGAAGTACAACAAGCCCCAAACCTTCTGCACTTGTGACTCTAGACCCGAAAGCCCGTAAAACCCGAAGCCGCCAAGAGTAGGCTGCTCCTGTGAAAGTCAAAAGGTCAGGCATAAAGTCAAGCAAGCAAGACAAACAAACAAACCCCAAACCCTAAGGCCCTTAGCCCACCAAGTTCGTCCGTGCAGCCTTTGCGCTGGTCTCCAAGACCATCTGCGCCAAGTTCGAGACTGGCGTTTGACACCGATCGAAAGCCCTCCCCTGGTAATCCCCCCCCTCCCCCCTCACCCAAACCCAAGAAATTACCCTATGCCCTAAACCCAAAAGCTTCACCCAAACCCTATACCCTATGCCCTAAACCCGAAAACCGAAGCCCTAACCCCTAAAACCCGATACGCGCAAACCGACAACCCCTAAACAAACCTTGTAAACCCCAGGCAAAACCCACAAAACCTTGACAACCCTCAGCCCTAAACCTAAACCCCACAGCCCAAAAGCCCTCGACCCTCGACGGGTGTTTCAGGTTTGCGTGCGCTGCGCATCGTCCTTCCCTATAGGTGCATTACATTCTATCTACATCAAAGAGTTCACGAAGTGAAGCTTTGCGCGTGTGTTCACACCCAGAACATGCTTGCCCTACGTCCGTCCATTGCTTCTACTTGTGATTACGCACCCCAATCCTATAGCCGTAAGACCTGTATCCCAATCCCCGAAACTGACCCTTCAGAACATCTTGTGCATTTCAGCTTTTTTGAAGTGGGGTTCAGGTGCTTTCCAGCTTTTTTCCGCGGGTTTTGTTTAAAGTCTATGGCCAAGCCTGGTCTTTGAGGCCCAATCCTATAGCCTTAAACCTCTGTGCTCAGCATGTACCCCTTATAGTCTTACAGAAAGCCCTCCTGGGGGACGCCTTCTTGGGTGAGCGATCAGGTGAAAGAGATACAAGTAGAAAGCAGAGACAACCCCTCAGCCCTGCCCTGGGCGCGCGCATGCTCTCGTCAAGGAAGCTGCAGAGGTCGAGGTGGTCGATCGGCAAGGTACAGAAATGATACACTCCAAGAAGATGAGGACTGGCAGGACCAACTAAACAGTTGACTCGAAAATTGAATGACTGACATGATTGTCTTGAACCACAATTAATCCGTACGCATCATGCCAAGATGAGTGCACGGCCGGCATGGTGCAGCAGTGCATTGAACTAAGTGAAAAGCCTCCGCTCCCCGACAAATCTGTCGTGGAAGAGCTCGCTGCTGGTCAGCTCGTTGCCGCACTTCGGCTGCGGCTTGATGACCTTCTTGTCCTGACCTGAGCCCCCCCCCCCCCCCCCCCCATTTTGTTCGTCTGCGTGCGGGTAACGTCACTTAACCCACCTTTTCAAGCCATGGGTTTAATTCTTTCCAAACAATCCTGATATTACAACCCTGCAAGGTAAACTTACCAAGCATGCCATCCTCCCTTACCTGTGTGCATCGCACCTTACCTTCTTTGAGTGGCCCATTACTAACTCCCTGGGGCGGCGTGGGCGAGGTCTCACTACAGAAATCCAACTCAGACTGGCGGTGATGGTTGCGGAACAACCGTATGGGTAAGCTGAATGGACTTTGGGACGTGCTATGTTTTCCCTTTCTGGGTTTAGGAGGATCATATCTAACAATATTTCCACAGGGTTTACATAAGGTACGGAAATATATATATATATATATATATATATATGTACCCGGTAATGAAGGCACAGTTCCCTCGTCTTTTTTCTGCTCAACTAGCCCAAAAAACCCTCCACTGTGCACGAGACCCCTCTCCCCCTAAGGGTCCATGTACCCATAGAGTACATATTTGGGCCTTAAAGCTACTGTATAGGAACCCCTTTAAGGCCCAAATATATAATATACTAAACCCTAAACCCTAAACCCTAAACCCTAAACCCTAAACCCTAAACCCTTTGGGTTCTAGGCTGCTCTCCGCCCTCCATCGCGAGCGCCTCACCGCCGACGTCATCTCGCTCAGCGCCGCCGTCAGCGCCTGCGGACGTGGTGCGCCAATCAGGGCATTGGGTTTAGGTTTTAGGGTTTAGGGTTTAGGGTTTAGGGCTTAGGGCTTAGGGCTTAGGGCTTAGGGCTTAGGGCTTAGGGCTTAGGGCTTAGGGCTTAGGGCATGGCATCGCCAAGGGGTCCAGGTACCAATAATATTAGGGCTTCCGAAAATTTTAGGGGTCCCTTTCTAGGGATGCTAAAACTACTAGAAAGGATCAGAATCATAGTGTACTTGGGGGTGTATTGAGGAGTAATCATTTTGGGAAGCTACGGAAAACTCCTGAATTTGTAGTAGGGATTTCAGAGTTTATGCATTTTAGGGAATGCTCCCACACCAAACCCTCAACCTACGGAAACCAGTTTAGGGTTTAGGGTTTAGGGTTTAGGGTTTAGGGCTTAGGGATTCCCAAAGTGTCCACGACATAGTGGGCCCAGGGATACAAAGCTGCAGGATTCAGACTTCTTTGCTGCAATTTGAAGGTTCTGGCGGTTCTGCGTTCAAGCTATGCGTTACCCTAAACCCTAAACCCTAAACCCTAAACTCTAAACCCTAAACCCTAAACCCTAAACCCTTTTTGGTGTTTCGGGCGTGGAGGGTGGTGGCTTGCAGGGTCCTCTCAGCGACGAGGCTCCAGATCTGTGCTTTTCTTGGCATTCAGGATGTAACTCGGAGAGGGAAAGTCTGCTGTGTACCTAGGACCCGGAGTAGGCCCTTATTTCCTTTTTTTTTAAGGGTTGGGTTTCCCTTATAATCCCCTCCTTAAAACCAAAAAGGGCACCCTTTCAATTCCTAGCTTACTCCTGGGTCTACTTGGTAGCCCATTTCCCATTTTTTGGGGTTCAAGGTTCCCTTAATAAAGTAACCAAGCCCTTATCCCTAAACCCTAAACCCTAAACCCTAAACCCTAAACCCTAAACCCTAATGGTTACTGGGCTACCAAGTCTAGGTACTGACAAAGCAACTAATGCAGCATCTGTGGACTGTAGAGGCGAGCAGTGGCAACTTGCCATGGATCTCCTGACGCGCATGAAGGCCAGATGGTCAAACCCTAAACCCTAGACCCTAAACCCTAAACCCTAAACCCTAAACCCTAAACCCTAAACCCTAAACCCTAAACCCTAAACCCTAAACCTAAACGTGGCGCTTCAGGGCTTTCGGTTTTTCTTGCGTGTCAGTTCGATCGCGTGCCCGAATTGGCAGTTCCGTGAAGCTCTTTGTAGAAGTGGGAGATCACCTGATGCCCGGGAGAGAACTCCGCGCAGTTGAGACGTTGGTGTGCTGAGGCCTTGGGTTTTGGGCTCACCTCGTTGGAGGTTCATGAGTAGTGAGTAGTTGTTCAGTAGTTGTTGCTATACTTGGCTGTAACTAAACCCTAAACCCTAAACCCTAAACCCTAGAACCTACACCCTAAACCCTAAACCCTAAACCCTAAACCCTAAACCCTAAACCCTAAACCCTAAACCCTAAACCCTAAACCCTAAACCCTAAACCCTAAACCCTAAACCGTTAGCTACCCCCTACCTCCTTGTCTACGCATGAACCTTCCAATAGGCCTAACCGCAGTCAGGGTTTGGAGTCCTCAGTGCCCCCCCCCCCCCAATAATTTAGGCTATTTAGGGATAGTTCAACTAAATTAAGGTTACTTAAGGGGGGAACCTAGGGTGGGGGATACCCTAAACCCTAAACCCTAAACCCTAAAAGGGCGGGGCAGTATAGAGGGGGGTTTAGGGAAGCCCATGACGTGCTGTGCCGCGGGAGGAGGGCGCCGTTCGCGTGAATGACGTGGCCTTCAATGCGGCGATCTCCGCCGCGGAACTTTTGCTGCACAGGATACCCCCTTTAGGGTTTAGTGTTTGGGGTTTAGGGTTTAGAAGTTTAGGGTTTAGGGTTTAGGCTTTGGGGTTTGGGCTTTAGGGTCCCCCCCCCTGAGGTTTACGAAAGACGAAAGTAGGGTACCTTCTTGGGGTCCTTTTGAAAGGGGATCCTACTATTTGGGGGGCATATATTAGGGGGATTGTTTTCGTAAACTCCCGCATGGTGGCGTGGCGTTGGGGGGTTCATGGGCTTGGTATGATTCGAGGCTCACAGGTGTGCATGTCCCGTTAAGCAAGGAGTTTAGGGTTTAGCGTTTAGGGTTGTTCCCCGAATTTGCTTATGAATCCTTGCTTCCGGCATTTGAACATACCTACCTGCGATACTGCTAGGAAGTGGGGGCCTCAGCAGGGGAAACGATGTCCGCCGTACAGTGGCTAGTCCTAAGAGTAACCTTGGAATAGTAAGGGTGCCCTTTGATTGCTTCAAAGGGGAGTATCAGGGAACCCAAACCCCCGCAAAAAGCGAAAAAGGGCCTACTCTGGCTCCTAGATAGCCTGCCTTCTGGCAGGCAGGTCGTGCCAGACCGAGCCAGCACCAGAGTGTGCCCGAAAAGAAGTCCAACGAGGCACTTAATGTTGGGCTTCGGTTACTAAAGTGGATCGCAATAGACCGAGATGTTGCCGAAGCCCAACATTAAACTATAGCACGGCATGACGGAATTGCACAAACCAGATGGTTCTCGGCCCCCACCCAAGCCTCAGCTTAGGAAGTGGAAGGCTGGGTTATGAAAAGCTCGTCTCTGGAAGAGGAGAAACACATGTGAGCAGCACGAGAGAGCGAGAAAGAGAGAGAGAGAGAGAGAGAGAGACGCTAAACCCTAAATCCTAAACCCTAAACCCTAAACCCTAAACCCCAAACCCTAAACCCTAAACCCTAAACGAAGTAGGCCCTTATTGAAGGCTTGAGGTTTAGGGTTCCTAGGATTTCTAGGGCTCATGGTCTAACGACGACTTCTCCCCAAAGCTCTGACAACCGTCAACCCTAAACCCTCAACCCTCAACCCTCAACGCTCAACCCTAAACGCTAAACCCTAAACCCTAAACCCTAAACCCTAAACCCTAAACCCTAAACCCTAAACCCTAAACCCTAAACCCTAAACCCTAAACCCTAAACCCTAAACCCTAAACCCTAAACCCTAAACCCTACCGGACCTCCAGTCCAAACCCTAAGGAGAAGGGCTTGCAGTGGCAGCTGGCGCTGTCGCTGCTCGCGGACTCCCTGTGCACGGTGGAAGCCCACACTGTAGCCGGGCTTTGCCCTAAACCCTATAAACCCTATAAACCCTATAAACCCTATAAACCCTATAAACCCTATAAACCCTATAAACCCTGAAACCCCGATAGATCCCCTATAATTAAACCCTAGAAAAAACCCTGTAAATCCCATTATATGGCCTATATAAACCCTGCAAGCCCTACATAAAACCCTATAAACCCCCCCTATAAACCCTTGACTGCTCGGCCTGCGGGTTCCGGATCTTGTGGGTTGACGCTCGAGGGGCTTGACGGCTCCTTGGGGCATTGCCTCTTTTACTCTGAAGGAAGGTGGGCTACAACAATTAAAAAAACAACATATAGAAATCAATACTGTAGAGGCACAAATGAGGCCCTAAATACGACGAACAGGCACAAATGAGGCCCTAAATACGACGTTTAGCCTTTTAAACCCCCTGCATTCAAACCCTAATTACCCTACTAAACCATGAGTCCCGATGTCAGGTGCTCGACAGGCTTCTGTTTAGGGTGGAGAGAGTGGAGGTTCTCAGTGTAGATCCGGTGCGCTGACCTGTCTGTGAAGGCAGTGGCGCCAGAGTAGCCTCTTGCCCAGTGTACCCTCCAAACACAGTTTGCCATGATTGTTGGGTACGTATATTTCCCTTCTGTTGTGGGTGCGTTTTGGACCGGGCGTGCAGCTGAGGTGATCACCTGCGGTGCCACGATCAGCGCCTGTGAGAAGGCACCTGGCAGCAGTTGAACACCTTGAACAGCTAAAAGCTCTGAACCCCAAACCGCAAACCCCAAACCACTAAACGACTAAACCCCAAACCCAAACCCTAAACCCTGCACCTATCAACAGCAAGCAGCCTAGCTTCCGAAAAAAAGGACGTTGGGGTTGTACCTGTATGTCTGTGTACATTCACAGACACATGCATGCTGGAACATGAACATTTGTGCACAAAGCTTAGTAGCCGCGTAGGAAACCTGCAACCTTTTGGGGTATATATATATATAGCCCTACCAGAATTGAAATGTTTACCTTGTTTGGCCTAGGGAATGCGGCAACTAGGCTGACTCTTGTGAGATGGAAGCACCTAGCCGGTTGGGGTTTAGGTTGATGTTTGTGCTCCCAGCTTCCGAAAGCCAAGATCCTGAGTTCCCGAATTCCCCAACCCCCAAAGTCTTAGATCCCTAGGGTTTAGGGTTTAGGGTTTAGGCGGTTTAGGGTTCAAGGTTTAGGGTTTAGGGTTTAGGGTTTAGGGTTTAGGGTTAGGCAGTTCACTTTCTCAGGTGACGTTCTGTCTTTTTGGAGCTGTCGCGACCCTGGGGCTAAAATGAGGAAGAGAGCTGGCGGCGCAATGTTTATACCCTTTCTTGGGTACACTCACATAGGCCTCAAATGCCTGAAAACCCTGCGTAAAGCCTTAGCCCTGAAACCCCATGAAGCCTTAAACCCTAAACACGGCAGGGCTCAGGAGCATGGACAAGGTTTTCGCAGGAGTTTTGGCCAAACGGTTTAGGGTTTAGGGGTAAAATCCTCAACCCGTCTTGCCCCTGCGAGCCCTCAACCTGAACAACCCTAAACCCGAAACCGTGAACCCTGAAGCCCTAAATTCTAGGCCCTAAACCCTGCAGAACCAAAGACTGCTAGACCCCAATCCTCACCCCCAATCCGCAAGCTTCACCCTAAACCCTAAGCCCTAGCTCGGCTCGCATGTTTCCAGGGCGACCAGTGGCAGTGGGCTGGGCACTTCCTCCATCAGTTGTCGCGGCAGGAGGCACCTTCAGCTTCGGGTTTTCTGTAGGTTATAGGGTTGAGGGCTTAGGGTTCATGGGATTTTTGTTTGCTAGGGTCAAGAGTTCACCTTAATGTGTGTGTGTGTGTGTCTTTTTGCTCGGGTTGGGCTGCCGTCAACCTTTGAGGACCAACCGATAATCTCTGATACACCTACCTGATTCCGCAGTTAAGGCAATTTCTAGCTGTGGTTCTTCGCTTGGGCGACTTGATCTACTTAATGTGCGAAGTGGACTGCCAAACACGGCGCGCAAGGTAAGTGATACTAAGATGCTCAAAACCTTAAACCCTAAACCCTAAACCCTAAACCCTAAACCCTAAACCCGTTCTAAGTAGGGTTATTATATATAAGTATGGTAGCTGCAACCGAATCCTTCTTTAGGGTACTTACAACTTACAACACATAACTACCCATGATCCTCTAAGTCGGTCTTCTCAACTCAGGGTTTGGGCCTAAACCCTAAACCCTAAACTCTAAACCCTAAACTTGGTTTTAGCGCAATCATGAGCCCAGAGAGAACTTGGGGCCGTTGGGGGGGGAGACCCTTCAACCCTCCAACCTTCCACCCTTTAAACGCTAAAAGCCCTAAACCCTAAACCCAGAAACCTATAACCCCTATAAACCCAGAACCCTATAAACCCCTATAAACCCAGAACCCTATAAACCCTATAGTCCCTATAAACCCTATAAACCCTATAAACCCTATAAACCCTGTACACCCCATAATCCCTATAAACCCCATAATCCCTATAAACCCTATAAACCCTATAAACCTCATAATCCCTATAAACCTTACATGGCGAAGGTTGTGGGGTGTCAGTCGGAAGCACTCAACCATACAGCGTTGTAGGTCTGAAGTTTTGGAACCCTAAACCCTAAACCCTAAACCCTAAGTTGGGGCTTGGGGACCTAGGGGTCTAGAGTGTGGGCCCCGAACCCTTGTGCCCCCTACAGCCCGTAGAATTCGGGGCCGACGCGGGAAAGGTTGCTTTTAAGTAGAAGCCTGGGAGAGAAAGTCCCAGGTGAAGCCCAACATCATCACCTACAATGCAGCCATCAACGCTTGTGAGAAGGGCCAGAAGGCTTTCTCCGATGCACACCTCAAGACTTAGGTTATGTAGGGTTTAGGGTTTAGGGTTTAGGGTTTAGGGTTTAGGGTTTAGGGTTTAGGGGTCTATATGGGTTCAGCTCCAAGATCCCAAGCTGCTCGTGTAACTTCACCTACGTCTTGGGTACACCCACACACACCCACTCCCGCACTACCACGCCTAAAATCTTGACCTTCTCCTAGGCCCTGAGCCCTAAACCCTAAACCCTAAACCCTAAACCCTAAACCCTAAACCCTAAACCCTAAACCCTAAACCCTAAACCCTAACCCCGTTCTTGTATTGGGGCACGAGCCGGTGGCTTCTGGGAGCAGGGCCCAGCAATGAATAGCTGCTCCACCTGCAGTTTAGGGTTTAGGGTTTAGGGTTTAGGGTTTAGGGTTTAGGGTTTAGGGTTTAGGGTTTAGGGTCAAACTTGGAATTTGCAGGGTGGGCTGCGCGATGTGCAGCGCGCTGCGGCAGAATTCGTGGACATGGGGGAGGACTCATTTAGTACATGGGCCGGGGGGCCCTCCATGGGGCACTGAGCAACTCAATCCCTGAGGACTAAATCATTAAATCATTGGTTCTACAACTCCAAACCCTAAACCCTAAACTCTAAACCGACGATGCTCATGGGATGCCCCCCGTGGTGTCGCCCAAGTATGCCCTTGGCATGGCATACTGCGCACGGCAGCAAGAAAGAGCGTCAGCCGGGCAGGAGGAAGGCACAAACCCGCCCCGGCCCTCCCCTAAACTCCCTAAACCCTCCCTGAATCCACTAAACCCCCACTCAACCTCCCCCTATATAAACCCCCTAACCCCCCCCCCCCCCCCCTAAAGCTCCCCTAAAGCCCCCTTAACCCCCCTAAACAGCCCTAAACTGCCCTAACCCCCCTCCCCCCCCCTAAACTGCAAGTGCAGCCAGGTATAAGAGTGGCAGCGGAATCACGAAGGGTGCACTCACTGAGACTAGGGTTTAGGGTTTAGGGTCTAGGGTTTAGGGTTCAGGGTTCAGGGTTCAGGGTTTAGGGTTTAGGGTGTAGGGTTTAGGGTTTAGGGTTTGGGCTCTATAGGGTCTAGGGTTAAGGCTTTAAACCCTGGTGCACAACCTCTTATACCCTTTAAAGAGTAGGACAGGCACCCAATCATTCAGGCAGCTCCTTTACAGCCGTAAAGTTCAGGCTTCACGGTTTAGGGTTTAGGGCGAGGTGCTGAGTCCTGCTTGTTTTTTTTAGTGGTTGGAAAGAAGGAATATGTTGGAACGGAGACCCGAACAAGGCCCCACAATTTTATTGCAACCAACAAATCACTATATCTCAACCCTATGGGTCAGGTGTTGCCATTTTTTAATCACAAGGCTGCAACACGTCATCGCAAATCATGGTCTGCCTTGCCAAGCTCCAAATCCCAAGCACACATCGCAATGCGAGAGTGTGTGGCGTGCTTGTGGTCTGCGATTGGCTGTCAATCAACCCCATACCCTTAAAAAGATTCCCTCCTCGCCCCTCTGTCCCCCCTCCCTCCCCCCTCTCCCTCCCCCCCCCCCCCCCCCCCCCCTCCCTCCCCCCTCCCCCTCGCTCTCCCCTCCCCCCTCCCGCCTCCCGTCCCCCTCCCTTCTGCAGCCTCCTTCACCCCCTTCCCTGTCACGCTTGCACCCGCCTCTTTACCTCCTAGGCCCCACGGCCTGTGGGTCCGGTCTTAGCGCCGGCGGCAGCTGCGCCCCAGGCCCCGAATTTGAAGTGTTTACTTGGAGGTCCATAGGCAGTTAAATTGGGGACCACCCAGCCTTATAGACTTACAGGACTTAGAGGATCCGGGCGGTGATAGCAACACCTTTTTGAAGGGCGCTTGAAACCCTACTTTGTTCAAAACACGTGCTTGGGCCATCAAGTGAGATTGTTAGGGTGGTGGTGGTGGGGGTGGTGGTGGTGGTGGTGGTGGTGGTGGTGAAACCCTAAACCCTAAACCCTGAACCCTGAACCCTGAACCCTAAACCTAAAGGGGGGGGGGGGGGGTTGTGTTAGTGGCGTAAGATGGTTTCGCCAGGCGTCTTTCATGGGGCTCGGGAGTATTTACTTGGAGGTTCATGGGTAGTTATAGGTAGGGTTACATTTATGGCCACCGGAATTATAACATTTTGGGGTACTTATGACCCTACTTATTGCTACCCATGAACCTGGAAGTAGGGTTTGCGTGTGTTGGTTTCGGACTGACTGTATAAAACCAGTGTTGACTTCAGGGCCTCAGTCACCTCAACCTGCGACCCTACATGAGCCCTACCAGCCATGATGGTCCGAGGAGTTGTCTAGGATTTATGTTTCAGGGTCCGGGGTTTAAAGTTGAGGAGTTCAGAGCCCGCAGTTCAACTACAGTCTGTCGCTACGGGTGCAAGAGTTATGCTACTGGAAGTTAGTCTTGAACCCTATGCCCTGTAAACCCTATAACCCTAAAACCTTAAGAGTTCTGAGGTTGGGGATGACCAGAATGAACTCTCTTGACGTATGTACTGGGGACCCTGACAGCCGCTCTCACATTTATGACCTGCCATTTCGGTGCACCTGACCAGAGCACCCTAAACCCTATCCTAAATGCTATCCCAAACCCTAGACGATCTCGTGATGACAGGGCTTTCGTTTCGGGTGTCGACTCATGGATAAATGAATCGGAGTGTGAGTCAGGTGCTTCCCAATGTCGGCGAGCTGCTGACGTACTACGACGACACCGGCGGCGTGTGCGTCAGTGCTTCCCTCAGAGCATTCTTCCGCGCGGACAGCTAAAAGACTTATAGTCCTCATGCCTTCGTGGGGTAGTAGAGGGGCGATGATCCTAATTTTTTCGGGCGTAGGGCTCCTGACTCGCCTGGCCTCTCCTGCGGCCGTAGCATCGAAATTTGTACTGTGCCTATAGTAGGACTGACCCAAGGACTCCAAGTATGCAGGTTAAGGGCCGCCTTGGTGTCAGTCTCTACAGATAACAGTAACAAGCCCTGCTTTGTGCCAGCTACTCGAAGTCCCTTGGGGCCTGATTGCAAGTGAAGCTCGTTATATAAGTTGCAGCTCTGTGGGCCCCCTGCTGCAAGGACCTATAGGTTGCTGCAGGTTAATTAAAAGGAGATAAGGGGAGATAGGTAGCTGGGTGGGTATATGTCATGCATGTGTATGTGTAGGTAGGTAGACCCAGGGAAGGATGCGACTGACGGATAAGAGCCTGGAGCGACCTTTTTATATACGCCGTTAACAAAAAGAATGTACGGACATGGATGATCTTTAAGGTACCCAGGCCCCCGGGAGGATCCAAAAAGTAGAACCCCCAACTGCTATTGGGACATTCTTAGGAACCCTCAAAGAGATCTACTTTTTGGATCCTGCCAGGGATCTGGGTAGGCCACTCTACATAGATTTCCTGGAGGAAGGTGTAGAAAATCCAAGTCAATACTAGTAGCACTGGACACACCGAAGGCCACGAACCATCACCCTGGGTTCCTAGCCTTCGACTGCCGCCCTAAACCCTAGACCCTGAACCTGAACCTTCAGCCCTACCCTAAACCCACCAAAGCCTGAGGCCTAGACCCTAAACCCGGAGCTGTAAGCCCGCAGCCCGAAAAAACCTTGGCGGTCGGCAAAGGTTTGCGGCTTTGGTGGCTTTAGGCTTCATGTCTAGGTGCACTCGAGAACCAAACCTGAAACCCGACGACCCTATTTCAGGAAGATTCCTCAAGTCATGAATCATTCCTAAGGGCCCGTGTGCCTGCACAGTATGTAATTCCCTAAGGGTCCATGTACCTCATCATTATATACTTGGGCCTTAAAGTACTTCCTTTATAGGGACTTTGGGGCCCAAGCATATACTAATGAGGTACATGGACCCTTAGGGATTTCTTAAGCTAGCACATAGTAACCCCTTCAAGGCCCAAGTCTCTAGTGTATATAGGTCTATGGACCCTCAGGGTAGGGGTTTCTCTCTGAGAAAGCAAGCCCTAAACCCTAAACCCTAAACCCTAAACCCTAAACCCTAAACCCTAAACCCTAAACCCTAAACCTGCAAAAGCCAGCCAGGATGGTGCGTGGATTTGCGGCGCATGGCCTCGCAGTATCGTTGGCAGACTCAGCTGAGATGAAGTTACCCTAACTATATCCTCCTTGGGAATCATTTTTTAATTTTTGTTTAGATAAAACTCAAGAGGATGTTAAACATTTGTTTTTATTAAGGTTCTAAGGGGAGTATAGCTAAGGCTCGAATAAGGCCTCCTACTTTCAGGTTTCTTTGGGCCAAAAGGCCTTCTTATATGGGTTTTCGGGCTATTTTGAGCCTAAGGGTAAGTTGGGGTTTGAGGTTAAACCCTAACTGGGTAGGCCCTTGATATATTTTATACTTTCCCTTTTTGGGGTTTAAGAGGATCATGTTTAGGAATATCTTTCAGAGGGTGTTGAAGGGCCCTCCTAGCTAAACCCCATACCGGAACCTCAGGTGTCAAGGCTTCAGGGCTTGGCCTGGCGCAGAGCGCAAGCGTTTGCATGGCTCTTCGGACAGGTTTCAATGCTTGTATTCCAAGAGCCTAGACGACTGGCTTTTGGTGTTTCGGGTCAGGGGTGTAAGGTGAAGTTGCCAGCATGTGAGTTCTCTCAGGTGTTGATTCCGCGGATGATAAACGAACGACCCAGAAGATCTCTAGATCGCTTGGCCCTTTCAGTAGGGCTCCTCTTTGACGGGCCCGCTGTTTTGCAGTGCTGCGAGAAGTCTATGTTTGTTGCGGGTAACTTTTTGATGCGCCTTACGTAAACGATCCCAACTCAGGGCGCGGGTCTGTTCACGAGCTCCGCTCTCCTTAACGGTTCTCACGCTTGTTGGGTTGTCTACACCCCCGCTTATAGGGTTTAGCGTGGGATGTGGGATGTATAGGGATTATCATAGTACTACAATCCTTATTAGGGACTGTTAGTATAATGGGGAACATTCCAAGGTTGAACCCGAAACCCGAAACCCCACAGAACTCCAGAGCTAGAAGGGTTTAGGGTTTAGGGTTTAGGGTTTAGGGTTTAGGGTTTAGGGATTGGCCTTCCCGACCCGTGCTAAACCCTGAACCCTAAACCCGAAACCCGAAACCCTAAACCCTAAACCCTAATCCCTAAACCCTATCGCCGAGGCTATGGCACCTCCCGCCGCTTTGCCATCCGCCTGTCGGATGCGGCGGAGGAAGCCCAATCCTCAATCCAGAGAGTGTCCCCGGAAGCCCAGGGTTTAGGGTTTAGGGTTTAGAGTTTAGGGTTTAGGGTTTAGGGTTTAGGGTTTAGAGCTTAGGGTTTAGGGCAGTTACACCCCGTAATTATGCATTTTTTATACCCCAGGACCCAGAGTAGGCCCTTGTTCCCTTTTTGGGGGGTTCAGGTTACATTAAGCAATAGATACCCTGATTAGTTAGAGGTTCATTAGTCTTCAGTCGGGTTGTAAGTACCCTTTATGAGGATACAATTGCAGTTACTATATGGAAAACCCTACTTGAAACTACCCATGAACCCCCTAATCTCAAAACCCAAAACCGGAAACC